CTTATTGTACGAGGGATGGTGGGACTGCTGGGTGGTGGTTGATGGAGTATTAGAGTCTTTTCCTTGTTAAGGGTAGGGCCTAGGAGCTTGTACACCTTGGCAAAGCCATCTGAGATTAACTGTAGATCTTCCACAGAGTGTGCTGCAACGGCTTTGTCGTCAGCATATTGAAGCTCCAAGATGGAGGTGTTGGGAACCTTGCCCTTGGCCTTGAACCTACTAAAGGTTGAACAGCCTGCTGTCCATAAGTTAAATGATTTGAATTCCCTTGGGCAAGTTTTCGCTAGTAAGATGGAGGATGGCAGCAATGAAGATGGTGAACAGGGTGGGTGCGAAGATGCAGCCCTGCTTGACCTCCGTCTCCACGGTGAAAGCCTCAGACTCCAATTCACAGTTGCTAAATGCTGTCGCAGATATGTCATCATCTTGATCAACTTAATGGAGTAACCACATTATGACAGTATCCACTAGAGAGCCTGGCGATTAACTGTGTCGAAGGCTTTAGTTAGGCCAATGAAGGCCATGCAAAGCAGTTGTTTCTCTTCCTGACATTTTTCTTGTAATTGACTTGCTGTGAAGATCATGTTTGTTGTTCCTCTGAACCAGTGGAAGCAAAACGGTGATTCGGGGAGTGTTTCCTCAGATAATGATAGAAATCTATTGGCAATGACGCAGGCAAGTACTTTGTCAGTGGTGACAGGAGGGAGAAGCCTCTGTAATTCCTACAGTCAGCCTTGTCGCCCTTTTTGAATAAGGTCAGAATCAGAGCATCCCTGAGCTCCAAGTGAGTTCTTCTTTGAGCCAAACCCTCAAGAACAATTCATGGAGCTGTGGGCCACCCTCCATTCAGACCTCTGCAGGAATCACATCAATATGAGCAGTGTTGTTGTTTCTTAGACTCCTTAGGCTCCTTGTATTTTGGTCACGCTGGGAGGTTCTCACATGTCACCTTGCATGGATTTCTGGGGGACTTGGTCGATAATTTTCAAGTTATGGTTGAGGCGTTCTGGGAAATGCTTTCCCCTGCAGGTGTTTATTGCCTCATTGTCCTTGAGCAATTTTTGCCCGTCTTTAGAGTGCAAGAGGTTTAGACCATGGTAGCTTGGACTGTATACTGCCTTGGTGTGCTGAAGATGCCTCTTTTGTCATTGGCTTCTGCCAGTTGTTGGATTTCCAAGGCCTTATCACCCCACCATTTATTTTTGAGTTCCCTTACCCGCTTCTAGTCATCAGTCTTAGCTTTGGCCCTTCTTTTGGCCTTGTAGTTGATGATATTGTCCAGTCACAGAAAGCTGTCCTTTTCTTAGAGATGAGCGGTTCAATTTCTGTCTCATTCTCATCGAACCAGTCCTGATGGTTTCTCGATTTGTACCTGAGAGTGTTATTGCAGGCAGAGAATGGTTGATTTAAGCAGACTCCAGTGTCCTCCTATGTCCTCTGGGGATTCCTGAGGTAGGTTTTTAGCAAGTGAGGCCTGTAGATTCTGCGTAGTGACTGTATCACCCAGGCTCTCGTTGTTGAATCTTGGCTGGGTCTGCTTTTTCTGAACTCTCCTCTTTCTGTGTAGTCTGATGGATATTGTGGAACGGATAAGGCAGTGATCAGTCCTGCAGTCATCTGAGCCAATCATAATCCTGGTGACATTCACATCCTGATGGTCCCTGGAGTGAACAATGACATAATCAGTGAGATGCCATTGTTTCGAGTTTGGGTGCCTCCAAGCTGCTTTGACTTTGCTTTTCTGATGGAAGAGTGTGTTTATGATGGTGAGGTTGCACTCAGCGCAATTGTGAGATGGAGGGCTCATTGGAATTGATGTTGCCAATACATTCCCTCCTATGGTGCCATTCCAAAGGTTGTGGTCTTAACCAACCCTGGCATTGAAGTCTCTAAGAAGAATTCCCTTTTCCTCCTTGGGAATTCCTGACAACAGTGTGTCAAGGTTGGCATAGAAAAGTCTCCTTTACTTCCTCCTCAGAGTCAAGGGTTGGGGCATAAGCGATTACAACTGCAGCCTTCTGGTTGTTTGTCAGCATCAGGTGGATGGTCATTGATCAGTCGTTGATCACCACAGGACATTCAGACAGACAACTGATGGGCTGGTTCTTAATTGTGAATCCAACACCGTGAATTCCAGGCTCATCAGCAGCCTTCCCTTTCCAGAAGAAGGTGTAACCACCTTTCACTTCCTCAGTTGCCCTTTGTTTACAAGGTTGGTTTCAGAAAGAGCAGCTAGGTTGATCTGGCATCTCTGTGCTGTAGATCTTTGTGACTCTATGACCAATTTTCTGAGATTCTGGTTACAACACATTGCTTCAACCAAGGGCAAGAAGCTTTACTTTGCATCTGTGTTGAGTTATATTTGACTTGATGTTTGATACTGACAGTGGGAGGCCAAAGATCTGAGCCATTCCAGCAATAATTTCCTTTACCCTTTATGAAGACTAAAAATATCCACTCCTTGCATAAGAAAAATACAAAGTTTAGTACAAACAGATTAACACGTTGCTTCACAGTACCAATACACTTTAATAATGATGTGATATTAACTACAGCCGCCCAATACTGCATATTTATTGACATTGCTACATTTCCTTGTGTACTGCGTATACATTCTACAAAGCGAAACATCCCTCTACATTCTAGTTTTCCCACGGCTGCACACCTTGCAAATATTTTAGACAGCAACTAAACAATGCGCTCAGGAACGAGGGGCTCTACTGTAGCCATGATTCATTATATTCATTGCATTGGGACTTTAACCAGCCCCATCCAAAAGGGTCCTTCACCTCACCCCAAACTGTCAACCCTTTCTATTTTTGTTTAGAATTATACTTGCATTATTATTAAAGAATACTGAACAACAACATTTCACAATGTTCAGCTATATGTGCAAACATTTCTCACCACATGCTGCAATTTAGGAACAGTGCAGAAGTGTAAGTCTAACCCCAAGCTAGATCCTCCTTCATCTGGAGACTGCAATATCTGGGACTAAGTGCAGTCCAATCCCAGCCTTGATTGTTCTGTCTGCAACTAATATATACATTTTCTCATTTCAATGTCTATCAATTTTCTTTGTCTTCATTAAGTATTCTCACCTCAGGAATACAGGAATATTGCTGGTGTTTAAGTCAGAGACCCTATATAAGACCATAGACCTTAAGATAAAAGAGCAGAATTAGGCCATTCAGCCCATTGAGTCTGCTCTGCCATTCAATCATTTCACTTATGTTTCTCAACTCCATTGTCCTGCCTTCTCCCTGTAACCCTCGATCCCTTTACTTATCAAGAATCTATCTATCTCTATCTTAAATACACTCAATGACCCTCCATCACCCTCTGTAGCAATGAGTTCCACAGATTCGCCACCCTCTGGCTGAAGAAACTTCTCCTCATCTCAGTTCTAAAGGGTTGCCCCTTCATTTTGAGGCTGTGCCCTCAGGTCCTCGTCTCTCCTATTAGTGGAAACATCTTCTCCACATCCACTCGTTCCAGGCCTCTCAGTAATCTGTAAGTTTCAATCAGATCGCTCCTCATCCTTCCACACTCCATCGAGTACAGACTCAGAGTCCTCAACCACTCCTCATATGACAAGGTCTTCATACCAAGATCATTCTTGTAACCCTCCTCTGGATTCCCTCCAACGTCAGCATATCGTTCCTTAGATATGGGGCCCAAAACGTAGAACATAGAACAGTACAGCACAGTACAGGCCCTTTGGCCCACAATGTTGTGATGACCTATTATGCTACTAAGATCAATCTACCCTGCATATCCTACATTTTACGATCCTCCATGTGCCTATCCAAGGGTCGTTTAAAAGTCTCTAAAGTATCTGACTCCACTACCACTGCCGGCAGCGCATTCCACATGCCCACCATTCTCCGTGTGAAGAACTTACCTCTGACATCTCCCCTATACCCTCCTCCAATCACCTTAAAATTATGCCCCCTCGTAATAGTCATTTCCGCCCTGGGAAAAAGTCTTTGGCTGTCCACTCTATCTATGCCTCTCATCACCTTGTACACCTCTAACAAGTCACCTCTCATCCTTCTTCACTTCAATGAAAAAAGCCCTAGCTCCCTCAACCTTTCCTCATAAGACCTGCCCTCCAGACCAGGCAGCATTCTGGTAAATCTCCTCTGCACCCTCTCTAAAGCTTCCATATCTTTTCTATAATGAAGTGACCAGAACTGAACACAATATTCCAAGTGTGGTCTAACCAGAGTTTTATAGAGCTGCAGCATAACCTCGTGGCTCTTAAACTCAATTCCCCTGCCAATGAAAGCCAACACACCATATGCCTTCTTCACAACCCTATCAACTTGGGTAGTAACTTTGATGATCTATGGACATGGACCCCAACATCTCTCTGTTCCTCCACACTGCTGAGAATCCTGCCATTAACCCTGTATTCTGCATTCAAATTCGACCTTCCAAATGAATCACTTCACACTTTTCTGTGTTGAATTCCATCTGCCACTTCTTCGCTCAGCTCTGCATCCTGTCAATGTCCCGTTGCAACCTACAGCAGCCCTCCACGCTGTCTACAACTCCACCAACCTTCATGTCATCAGCAAACTTACTAACCCACCCTTCCACTTCCTCATCCAAGTGATTTATAAAGATCACAAAATGCAGAGGTCCCAGAACAGATCCCTGTGGAACACCACTGGTCACCAAGCTCCAGGTTGAATACTTTCCATCTACTACCGTCCTGTGTCTTCTATTGGACAGCCACAATGCTCCAAACGGCTCACAATACTCCAAATGTGATCTGACCAGAGCTTATATAATCTCAGCAGTATTCTTCACAGTGAGAACAGGAGTTTGGTATCTCAATACAGGACTATGGGAAAAATAACAAACCTTGAATTACCCAGAAACAACACCATGAAAATATAACCTGTCAGACAATTAAAATGTCCATCCTCTCAAAAAAATCTTACACAAGAGATCATGTAAGATCCCAGTTGCTGAATAAATATACACAGAAATACACAGCAGAAATGGAGTTTATTGGAGCTAACTGATCAGGAACATAAAAAAAAAGTGATGAAGCAATTGATGATTTTCTGCTGTGTACCACAGAGTGGGAGGATTCATGTTTTCAACTTGCAATTCTTTTAAGGCATTTACAATCTCAGTTTGTATAGGTGCTGCATTGACAGTAAGTATGCCCTGTAGGGAGAAAGAGAAGGATCAAAGATCAAGTGAGCTTTCATCTGTTTTATGCATCATTTAGTGTGTGGTATGAAGTCACAAAAACTAACCCTTGGGGCATCTTGTCTGTTGATTTAGAGATAACACAGTGTGGAGCTGAAGGAGCACAGCGGGCCAGGTAGCATCAGAGGGGCAGGAAAGTTGACGTTTTGGGTTGGGAAAGGGTCCCAACATGAAACGTCAAGTTTCCTGCTCCTCTGATGCTGCCTGGCCTGCGTGCTCCTCAGCTCTACACTGTGTTACTTCTGACTCCAGCATCGGCAGTTCTTACCATCTCCTTGTCTGTTGATTTGCTGTCTTGGTTTGGATGAAACTTGGAAGCCACCATTGGAGCAGGAGAGAAAGTGGTAACTTACAACTTAAAAAAAAAATCATTATACTTTAAAGAAGTAAAGTCCCATTTTCTTTCTGTTAAACTGAGTTGTTATCCTTCCATCTATGAACGACGATGGCCATACATCAAATTATTAATTTAGGTGGTTTGGGTCTTCTCTTGGTGCACCTTTATCAATGACTGAGGAGATCAATCCTCGAGCAGCAGGTTCTGACACAAATACCACACATGAAGCTGCCATGTTAGCCTGTTAATTTTAGTGTTGGCACCTGCTACCAAGCTGCAGTAAGCATTGGTCACCATTGTAGAGCAATTCAAGCCACGGGGGTGGGAGGGGGACAGGGTGTACCATTTCACTTTTTCATTAGCTGGTGATTCCCGAGTGCAATAGTGGTGGTTAGGGTCTTCACATTATATTTACAAGAATCCTTGGAGTCTTGGGAAATGTAGTTGTTGTCCGGCTCTAACAACCTTACCATTCAGAAGGTCCTTGAGTATGCAACTACCATTCAACCTGTGGGCATGTCAATCCACTGAAGTCATCTCTGTTTGACTTGTGCTGACACACTGGGACCTCTATCTTTGATTTTGTCCTGCCAGCATATATTTGTAGGGCACTTCAAATAGAACTCCTTTTCATGTTAGTTGTAAGTTGCAAATATTTCACACAGTCAGACAGCTGGGTGCTGGGAACATAGAATTTTTCTATCTGTAAACAGATGAATAATTAAGCAAACATTTAAGATGATTTTCTACTATATTTTTGCACTTTAAATCAATATGAATAGGTGGAACCATTTCTCTCTGTTATTTCTTACCTGGCACCAATGTAGTTTTGAAGATCTTGCTTCCTTTTTAATACTTTGATGAGCTGTTAAAAAAAAATGCAATCTTTTACCTTGTTAACTTCAACAAAACATTTTGACAAAAATGGACTTCCCCTAGTTTTTGCACATACAAGATTGAAGTACAGGGATTACAGTTCTTGTTGTCCTCTAGGTCCTTCCTAATGAATTTTCCTTGAGAGAAATGGTGATTAAGCATCAATACTATAGTGAAATTGTGATCTTAACAATGAATCACACAGTTAATAACACATGCTTGGACTTTGAACTTCTATTTCAGATAATACGCCCTAACAATCTATTTACGTTATTAATTATGGTTGCATTTTTAAGGATTTTAAAAAATACTTCTTCAGTCCTGTGTCTTCCTGCTCCACTCTTCTAGTTATATTTTCTCATCTTCACATTCATGTTCTTTGGAATTTATTCACATTGTAAAATCAGCATGTTTTCTTCAAACATGAACATTCAGCTCATAGTTGATGATCAAATGTTTTATAACAATATTAGACATCACTTTATAACTTCCATAACATACCATATAAATTGTCAGCTAAACTAGGATAAAAAAAGGATAAGAAGAATAACAATTAACCAAAACAACATAGATAACTCACCTTCTGTTCTTCAAACCAGCACCATGGAATCTTTCACATCTATGAGAGAGTGTGGACAGGCTTCAGTTAACATCCTGCTCAAAAGACAGCATCTTTGACAATGCAGCACTTCCTCACACTGCATTGGAGTGTCTGGCTTGATTATTATATTCAGGTCCTGGCCGTTTTCCGAGCTTCTTAATTTAGCTTCTAGCTGCTCATTATCCCTCAGCAGAACCTCTTTCTTCTTTCTACCGATTTCATGGACCACAACAACCAGATCTTTCCCCTCCCACTCTAAGTTTCTCTGCAGCCCAGATGAAATAACCTGAACCCAGGCACCAGGCAGGCAACACAGTTTTTGGGACTTTTGACGCTGGCCACAGAAACCATGTGTGGGGGGAAGGCTCAGCAAAGGTTAAAGTTTCTACAACTAGTACTAGGACAGAGTATGGAAAGGGTCAGGAATCTAACTTCAGGCACAGTAGATAAAGGGACAACTATAAGAAGGGGGGCTATACCAGAACTTCAAGAGAGTTGGGGGCAGGGGTGAGTGTATTGGCCATCACTAAGGAGAAGGTTCTGGGGAAACTGAAAGGTCTGAAGGTGGACAAAACACCCAGACTGGATGGGTTACATCCAGAATTCTGAAGGAGATAACCAAGGAGATTGTAGAGGCATTGGTGGTGATCTTTCATGAATTTCTGGAGTAAAGGACGGTCACAGAGGACTGGGAAATGATGAAGGATAATACCCATGTTTAAGAAGGAAGGGAGGCAGAAGACAGGAAGTTATAGGCCAGTTAGCCTGACCTCAATCATTGGTAAGATTTTAGAGTCCACTATTAAGGATGAGATTGCGGAGTGCATGGTAAAATAGGGCAGAGTCAGCATGGACCTCCAGCCTGAAAAACACCCTTCCACCACTACCCTCTGTCTTCTATGGGCAAGCCAATTCTGAATCCATGTAGGCAAGTAACTGTGCTTCCCACGTATCTTAATTTTCTAGATGAGCCTACCATGAGGGACCTTGTCAAGAGCCTTACAGAAATCCATGTAGACAATATCCACCGCTCTACCCTCATCAATCACCTTCATCACCTCCTTGAAAAATTCTATCAAGTTAGTAAAACATGACATGCCCTGCCCAAAGCCATCCTGACTGTCCTTAATTAGGCCATACTTTTCCAAATGTGCATAAATCCTATCCCTAAGAATTCTCTCCAATAGCTTCCCAACCACCGATGTGAGACTCACAGTTCCGTAGTTTCCTGGATTATGTCTATTTCCTTTCTTGAACTGAGGAACATTAGCTACTCACCAGTTCTCCAGGGCCTCTCCTGTGGCTAGCGAGGATACAAAGATCTTGGTCAAGGCCCCAACAATCTCCTCTCTTACCTCTTTCAAAACCTGAGGTAGATACCATCAGGGCCTGGGGACTTATCCACCTTAATGCTCCTTAAGAGACCCAACACCACTTCTTTCTTGATCTCAAAATGCCGGAGCATATTAGCGTGCTCCACATAAATCTTACTATCCTCCATTTCCTTTTCCTGGGTGAGTACAGATGCAAAATACTCATTTAGGATCTCACCCACATCCTCTGCCTCTAAGCACATGTTCCTTCCTTTATCTTTGACTGGTCCTACATTCTCTGTAGTTATCCCCCTGTTTTTAATGTATGTACAGAATGCCTTGGGATTCGCTCTAACCCTACTTGCCAAGGTCATTTTATGGTCCCTCCTTGCTCTCCTAATTCCCTGCTGGAGTTCTTTCCTGCTTTTCTCATATTCTTCACGGGCCCTGTCTGATTTTAGCTTCCTAAACTTTATGTATGCTTCTTTTTCCCTTTTGACTAAATTCACAACCTCCCTCGTTATCCGAGGGTCCCTTAACTTGCCATCCTTGTCACCAATCTGCCTACATATTTGTTCCTCAATCACTTGGTGGCTGTTGTGAAGCCTATGGTATAATCATATCAGAGTTATTATATACATCTTATTTTTGACCTCTACCCATGAGCCCTCCAGCATGTCCTGAGTACAGATGTGACATTATCCCTGTTTAGCAATGCAACTCCTCCACCTCTTTTACCTTCCTCTCTATCTCATCTAAAACAACGAAACTCTGGAACATTAAGCAGCCAGTCCTGTCCCCCTCAAAACCAAGTCTCTGTAATGGCCACAATATCATAATTCCACGTACAAATCCAGGTTCTAAGCTCATCTACCTTACCTTTAATTGTCCCTGCATTGAAATAAACACACTTCAGCTCATTAGTATCATCATGTTCCTTTATCAGTCTCTGCCTGTCCTTTCTTTCTGATTTACTGGTCCTAGCATCTACCTTCCCCTCAATCCCTCCACTTGGTGACCTGCTGCTCTGGTTCCCAGCCCCCTGCCCCTCTAGTTTAAACCCTCCTGAGTAACACTAGCAAACGTCCCTGCAAGGATATTGGTTCCCCTCCAGTTCAGATGCAACCTGTCCCTCTTGTACAGGTCATCCCTGCTCTAGAAGAGGTCCCAATGATCCAAGAATCTGAAACCCTGCCCCCTCCACCAGCTCCTCTGCCACATGTTCATCTGACCTATCTTTCTATTCTTTGCCTCACTAGCACGTGGCACTGATAACAACCCAGAGATTACTATCCTCGAGGTCCTGCTTTGCAGCCTCTTTCGTAACTACCTGTACTCGCTCTGCAGGACCTCATCCCTCTTTTGACCTATGTCGTTGGTACCAATGTGAACTACGACCTCTGGCTGCTCACCATCCCCCTGAAGAATTCTGTGCCTCTGCAGTATATTACATTTTGTCTTTCTTGTTGTTATATTTTACATGATTAGAATATGATTTAGGAACTAGACATCTTGTGTGTGAACAAAAGTATGCTGAGTGTCCCATCATTATTTGTGCTTCGAGCAAATAATATATCATTCAACAGCACGTGATAAGGTCTGTGAAATCATTCGAAGAACGGTCCAGCATTTCATGTTGACTACTGTGATTATCTTAAACTTCTGGAAACCACAAGATGCACTTGGCAGCAGATATGGTGTGATCTGAACCCATGTCTAGAAGAGATTGTGTAACTGAAAAAGATCACAATTACCATCTACATGAAGCGCCACAAGAGTGTTTAAGAGATTTCCAAAACTGTGTGGTTTTCAATTTGTCACCTTTATCAGCACATTACTCTTGGAAGACACATCCAGACATATAAAAGAACCTTCATAAAAAGCTGAAAACAAAGGAAGACCAAACATTGCCTCATTGTCACTCCAAGCTGTAACTTTTGAGGCTGAAATGAAATCATCTGCAGAGCTACACCATGGGAGAAAGTACAAGAGAACTTTGCCAAGCAAGAAACACTGTGGCCAGGAGGCAGTAAGACAACTTACTCACTGACACACGGGTAGGAGGTGGTCAAGACTTTAACAAGCACATCCAATCCTTGTCTGAGTCATTGCGAGGATAAACTGTACTTGTAAGGGATCTAATCTTAGAAACCTGGAACGCAGCAAAATTTGTTGGTGAAGCAAAGACTCCAAGGTCATTCATTTGTCATTGAGACCAAAATGTATAAGCAAGTGAAAAGGAACGGAATCCAAATTTGACATACACCTAAGCTGTAAAACCAGAGAAGGTCATTGATAATACACCAATAATTTCATTAATAAGTGAGACACCACCAATATCATCATCAACTTGTGGTTTAAATGTACAAATGAAAACAATTCAATTCGTTGAGCTTATTCTGCCATTCAAGGATGCAATCACTTAGACGGGGTTGTACTATAGACCTTCGTATAGCCTGCAAGTGATAGAGGAACAGAGATATGGACAGTCTCAGAAAAATATAAAAACAGCAGGGCTGTTGGAGTTTTGGGTGATTTTAACTTACCCCATGTTGACTGGGACTCCCTTAGTGCCAGGAGCTTCGATGGGTGGGGGGGCATGGTTTTTTTTAAGGAGTGTCCAGAAAGGTTTCTCAAAGCAATATGTAAAAGTCCAACAAGGGAAGGGGCTGTACTAGTCCTGGTATTGGGGAATAAGCCAAGTGATCGAAGTTTCAGTGGGGAAGCATTTTGGGAACAGTGACCATAAACCATAAGTTTTAAGTAACTTATGGATCAGGATAAGAGTAGTCCTTGGGTGAAAGTACTAAACTAATACCGCTCACGCTTGGACATAGAGCAGTTTTTCCGCCGCCTCCGCCTCCACGCTTACTTCTTCAACCGTGAGCCTAACCCTCCCTCCACTGACCCCTTCTCCCATCTCCAACACATCCCCTCCTCCTGGACACCATCCCAAGGCCTCCCACCCTCCCTTGACCTCTTCATCTCCAACTGCCGTCGAGACATCAATCGCCTCAACCTCTCCACCCCTCTCACCCACTCCAACCTCTCCCTCGCAGAACGTGCAGCCCTCCGCTCCAATCCCAACCTCACCATAAAACCCGCGGACAAGGGAGGCACAGTTGTAGTATTGCACACTGACCTCTACATCGCCGAGGCCAGACGCCAACTCTCCGACACCTCCTCCTACCGCCCCCTTGATCATGACCCCACCCCCGAGCACCAAACCATCATCTCCAAACCATCCACAACCTCATCACCTCAGGTGACCTCCCACCCACGGCCTCCAACCTCATCGTTCCCCAACCCCACACCGCCAGCTTCTATCTCCTTCCCAAAATCCACAAACCTGAATGCCCTGGTCGACCCATTGTCTCCGCCTGCTCCTGCCCCACCGAACTTATCTCCAACTGTCTGGACTCCATTTTCTCCCCCTTGGTCCAGGAACTCCCTACCTATGTCCGTGACACCACCCACGCCTTCCACCTCCTCCAGAACTTCCAATTCCCCAGTCCCCAACATCTCATCTTTACCATGGACGTCCAGTCCCTCTACACCTGCATTCCCCATACAGATGGCCTAAAGGCCCTCCGCTTCTTCCTGTCCCGCAGGCCCGACCAGTCCCCCTCCACTGACACCCTCATCCGCTTAGCCGAACTCATCCTCACCCTCAACAACTTCTCTTTCAATTCCTCCCACTTCCTGCAG